TACAAAACATTAATAATCTATCATAAACTTACTAAGTACTTCATCAGCTGTTATCCTTGCTGAAATATCCCTTGTCAGCATTCTCCCAACAAGATCTCGTGCAGGTTTAGATATTGATTCCCACATCCCGGTTTGGAAATCTAGCTTGGAATTCTTAATAGCCTCAAAAACTGCTTCTTGTGAATCCCCTTTAAATGGAAGAACACCAACCAACAGAGCATGCAGGAGCACTCCAGCATTCCATATATCCGCCTTTTCTGAGTATCTACCCAACAACACTTCTGGTGCAACATATGCAGGGCTCCCAGCCAAACCCGTCAAGTCCTGACCTGCAATGCAAATTTCTAGACAATGAGGCTATGCATAAACAACATAAATGACTCATGTATGTATGTATGTATCTTTTACTTATGTGTGTGTATTTATATATATGTCAATTGAATTACTGATATTTTTAAATGCTTAAAAATTAAACAAAGTGACCTTAGAGTAGGAATGGTTAGCTTCAAACTATTATAAGCATTTTCTCTAGGACCTCTTATTCTTAGACCGCTAGCAAATTTAATTGAATATTGAACATAGTAAACTTAAGGGAGATGACCATCTGAACTCTCCAATTTTTACTCCTATGTACAGGGTAACATTAGTAAAGTACAATTCAGTTGAAAGCTCATCATGATGAACTTCTTCAAACTTGGTAATTAAGGTCAAATGCTCTCTCTGCTCTTTCTGTTTCTTTTTCTCTGCGTCATGTGATCTTAATGAACATTGTCTTACTAGCTCAGATATTATTAAGGTGAACATGTGTGCCTGGTTTTCACTGTATCTGCTCTTTTTGTTTTCCTCCTCCCATTATCTGATAGATCACATATCCCCTCGGTCTACTTCCATGTGTATATAAATGTGTGAACTATTGATGCTCATCTTGATACCTGTTTCGCAAGTTACTTTCATAGTTTCATTTGCATACATGTAACAGGGTGTGACAATAATAATATATAATACTATTATTGTATTTTTTATTCTCTATTTGAGATCTATATGTAATAGACAAATAAATGGTGGCGAAGAAAGTTTGCCTTTATGAGGTCTGGAACTGAGTAACGTTTCTGTTAATAAAACAATAACCATTTACTCAAACCACCCACACTGAATTTATAATTACAGTATACACAATTAATCAACAGTTTCAATCATTATAGAATAAATTTATCAAAATGAGAGAGTTAAGGAACACATGATGTTTTTTCATGCAACACTTTAACATTAACATCAGCAACACTTTTAACAAATGTTTTTTCATTGAAAATTTTCCTAACACACACAAGTTTAATATCGGTGTCAAGAGATCCTACCCTTATATATATATATATATATATATATATATATATATATATATTGTGTATGGGCTTTGGATTCATCATGCAAGAAGACTAATTTTTTTTCCTACAAAGAAAAGTCAAGTTAAATATTAATAAAAAAAGTTGAAGAGACACAATATTTAATGACTTTGGGCATGCATGATAACCTGTTCGGAATCATTTTTTTTTAATTTATGTTCCCGGGAAAAATGGATAGAAAACTCGTTTAGTAAAACCGGTTTATTTTTTTGTTCCCGGGATAAACTGGTTTAATTTTTGTGCAAGGGAACAGAAAAAAGAATCAGAAAGTTTCTATTTATTTGTTCCCAGGCACAAAACGAGAAACACTTATCTCTCTCAATCACTCTCCACCTCTACCATCACCACCACCACCACCACCATCATCCCGACATGACCACCGCCACCATCGTCGCCGCCGCAGTCGTACCACTAGTGCCGTCGTCACCTCCCCCCACTACCACGATGCCACCGCAACCATTACCACCACATCCACCCATCACTGCTACCATGGCACTGTCACCACCACCACAATTACCACGCCGCCATCACCATCACCATCACCACTATCACTGTCACCGTCACCACCACCATCATCGTCGTCACCGCCTCCGCCACCATCGCCATCACCACGCCACTGCCACTGCCACTGCCACTACTACCATCACCACGACGCAACCGCTACCATCACCACCACTGTCACCAACCACCACTACCATTGCGGCAGCCATTACCGCCACCGCCACCAACCACCACCACCATCGTCTCAGCCATGCCTTCACCACCACCACCACCACTGTCACCTACCACCACCGCCACCGTCGCAGCCACTGCCATCACCACCATGATGCCATCACAACCACCATCACCATGCCACCGCTACCATTGTGGCCGCTGCCACCAACCACCATCCCCACCACCATTGGCGCAGCCACTGCCGTCACCTCCACCTCCACCATCCCCGTCGTTACCACCATCATCCCCACCACTACCGTCACAACCACTACCACTATCATCACCACGTCACTGCCACCACCACTACCGTACTGTTGTCGCCACCACCACCACCACCACAACCACACAACATGAAAATGAAAGTGATGATCCGAATTTTTTTATATTTAATAGGAATTATTTTTTATTATATTATTTGTTGTGTTATCAAACACAATTATCAAACACAATGGTAGGGAATGAAATGGTTGTCATGCACACCATTTATCTTGTCTGTAGTAGTTGCATGACACTGTACCTGCAAGGCTGCAAATATGAATATATATATATATATAATTTGTATTTTTTTACTAATTTAATTTAATATTATATTTTAAATTTTAAATAAATTATTATTATTTATAAAATAACATCAATCCTATTACTTTACAAATTAGAGTTATAAATCATGATCTCATAAGACATAAAATGTCTTTAAGTGAATAATATATATAATAAATATATTATATTATTAAAAAATTCAAAAAGCTAGCATATAGGTTTTTAGACCAGATTTAAGTGGATTTATGACATATTTTTTAAGGGAAATATTTTTCTCATGTTGCATGAGACAAATTGTCTCATCCAACACACAAAAAAGTGAGTGAGACCTACTGAGAAAAAGAAAGAGAAAGAAAAAAATGAATCCTACCCACTTTTTTATGTGTTGCATGAGATAATTTGTCTCATACAACATGAGAAAAATATTTCTCATTTTTTAAATAAATTTTCTGAAAGTAAAAGGCAAATAGAGCCGACCAGCTCAGATTTAAGGTAGGCCCGCCAATCTATTTACGCAGCTGGCCAGGTGTGGACTAAAACGGCTGCGTGAGAACATTCTTAAGCCCCAACCTAAACCCCAATGTGTTAAAACCCTTAGATCCACCGGAACCTCAAAGCTTTCATCCCTATCAATTTTGCAGCTATCACGAACATTTAACTCAAATGAGAAGGTTCACGTGGTTAACGCCAGTGAGTGAATCAACAAGAATTCCAAAATCATTCAAAATTATTGTTCCATTTTCTCAATTATCCTTGTTCTCATCACCAATTCTTCCAAAGCAGTATCGGCGCCATTCTTCCAATGTAGCGTAATGTTTTAACTTTTTCAGGCTATTCTAGGTGGCAAAGTTGAGGTGCCTACTTTATCGGGGAAGATGCAAGTAAAAGTAAGCAGTAAGCTAAGATTTACTTTGTTAGTATAATTTTTTTTTAAGTAAAGAAAAGTTTAGAGGGGCCAAGGTTGGTCCATTTCAAGATGAGGGCATGCTACAAGCTTTAGTAAGGGATCACAATGATACTTATAGATGACTTACCAAAGAAAGTTCACTAATAGGACTTGAACCTGAGACCTTGTTATCGACTCTGTTTGATATTGTCAGTTGAGTCAACCTCATCAGTATAGTCTTTTTGTTCCACTATGAAATTGAATTTCGAATGACACAGAAGTTTTCCCACCCCCACCCCAAAATTTCCTCAAAAGTTTTATTTTGAACTTTTTGAATGAGGAATTCTTGAAACCACTCACTTTATAATTAACCAAACCTTCTCATTTTTTGTGTTCGTGATAGCTGCAAAATTGATAGGGAAAAGCTTTGAGGTTCATATTATTTTGGGGCTTAAGAATGTTCTCAATTAGTCCCCATTAATGTTTTTTCATAAAATCTGAGCTGGTCAAATTTTTACTTTCAGAAAATTTATTTAAAAAATTTTTTTCTGATGTTGTATGATTTACTCATGCAACACATAAAAAAGTGGGTAGGATATATATTATATTTCTTTCTATGTGTGTTGGATGAGACAATTTGTTTCATGCAACATGAGAAAAATATTTCCCTTAAAAAATATGTCATAAATCCACTTAAATCTGGTCTAAAAACCTATATGCTAGCTTTTTGAATTTTTTAATAATATAATATATTTATTATATATATTATTCACTTAAAGACATTTTATGTCTTATGAGATCATGATTTATAACTCTAATTTGTAAAGTAATAGGATTGATGTTATTTTATAAATAATAATATTTATTTAAAATTAAAAATAATATTAAATTAAATTAGTAAAAAAATGCAAATTATATATATATATATTCATATTTGCAGCCTTGCAGGTACAGTGTCATGCAACTACTACAGACAAGATAAATGGTGTGCATGACAACCATTTCATTCCCTACTATTGTGTTTGATAACACAACAAATAATATAATAAAAAATAATTCCTATTAAATATAAAAAAATTCGGATCATCACTTTCATTTTCATGTTGTGTGGTTGTGGTGGTGGTGGTGGTGGCGACAACAGTACGGTAGTGGTGGTGGCAGTGACGTGGTGATGATAGTGGTAGTGGTTGTGACGGTAGTGGTGGGGATGATGGTGGTAACGACGGGGATGGTGGAGGGGTGACGACGATGATGGTGGTGGTGACGGTGACAGTGATAGTGGTGATGGTGATGGTGATGGCGGCGTGGTAATTGTGGTGGTGGTGACAGTGGCATGGTAGCAGTGATGGGTGGATGTGGTGGTAATGGTTGCGGTGGCATCGTGGTAGTGGGGGGAGGTGACGACGGCACTAGTGGTACGACTGCGGCGGCGACGATGGTGGCGGTGGTCATGTCGGGATGATGGTGGTGGTGGTGGTGGTGATGGTAGAGGTGGAGAGTGATTGAGAGAGATAAGTGTTTCTCGTTTTGTGCCTGGGAACAAATAAATAGAAACTTTCTGATTCTTTTTTCTGTTCCCTTGCACAAAAATTAAACCAGTTTATCCCGGGAACAAAAAAATAAACTGGTTTTACTAAACGAGTTTTCTATCCATTTTTCCCGGGAACATAAATTAAAAAAAAAATGATTCCGAACAGGTTATCATGCATGCCCAAAGTCATTAAATATTGTGTCTCTTCAACTTTTTTTATTAATATTTAACTTGACTTTTCTTTGTAGGAAAAAAAATTAGTCCTCTTGCATGATGAATCCAAAGCCCATACACAATATATATATATATATATATATATATATATATATAAGGGTAGGATCTCTTGACACCGATATTAAACTTGTGTGTGTTAGGAAAATTTTCAATGAAAAAACATTTGTTAAAAGTGTTGCTGATGTTAATGTTAAAGTGTTGCATGAAAAAACATCATGTGTTCCTTAACTCTCTCATTTTGATAAATTTATTCTATAATGATTGAAACTGTTGATATTCCTTGTAAATAGAATAGGAAACAGATTATGTGCTTGTTGTATTTAGTTTAGTCAATCCCTGAAACTACGGAATTTAATTGTGTATACTGTAATTATAAATTCATGAGGTTTAGAGAGGATTCCTCTCAAGTCATTCATATGAGAAGATCACTTATTCAGGTCTTAAAAAAGAGAGGAGGGATTTTGGGGTGGGGGGGGGGGTGGGATGCCAAACTTCTGTGTCATTCGAAATTCAATTTCATAGTGGAACAAAAAGACTATACTGATGAGGTTGACTCAACTGACAATATCAAACAGAGTCGATAACAAGGTCTCAGGTTCAAGTCCTATTAGTGGACTTTCTTTGGTAAGTCATCTATAAGTATCATTGTGATCCCTTACTAAAGCTTGTAGCATGCCCTCATCTTGAAATGGACCAACCTTGGCCCCTCTAAACTTTTCTTTAATTAAAAAACAATTATACTAACAAAGTAAATCTTAGCTTACTGCTTACTTTTACTTGCATCTTCCCCGATAAAGTAGGCACCTCAACTTTGCCACCTAGAATAGCCTGAAAAAGTTAAAACATTACGCTACATTGGAAGAATGGCGCCGATACTGCTTTGGAAGAATTGGTGATGAGAACAAGGATAATTGAGAAAATGGAACAATAATTTTGAATGATTTTGGAATTCTTGTTGATTCACTCACTGGCGTTAACCACGTGAACCTTCTCATTTGAGTTAAATGTTCGTGATAGCTGCAAAATTGATAGGGATGAAAGCTTTGAGGTTCCGGTGGATCTAAGGGTGACAAATTATCTCATGCAACACATAAAAAAGTGGGTAGGATTCATTTTTTTCTTTCTCTTTCTTTTTCTCAGTAGGTCTCACTCACTTTTTTGTGTGTTGGATGAGACAATTTGTCTCATGCAACATGAGAAAAATATTTCCCTTAAAAAATATGTCATAAATCCACTTAAATCTGGTCTAAAAACCTATATGCTAGCTTTTTGAATTTTTTAATAATATAATATATTTATTATATATATTATTCACTTAAAGACATTTTATGTCTTATGAGATCATGATTTATAACTCTAATTTGTAAAGTAATAGGAT